CTAATCCTACCCATCTCCAGCCCGATCCCTAACCCCACCCCTAATCCTATCCATCTCCACCCCCTGATCCCTAACCCCACCCCTAATCCTATCCATCTCCACCCCCTGATCCCTAACCCCACCCCTAATCCTATCCATCTCCACCCCCTGATCCCTAACCCCACCCCTAATCCTATCCATCTCCACCCCCTGATCCCTAACCCCACCCCTTCTCCTACCCATCTCCACCCCCTAATCCCTAACCCCACCCCTAATCCTACCCATCTCCACCCCCTGATCCCTAACCCCACACCTAATCCTATCCATCTCCACCCCCTGATCCCTAACCCCACCCCTTATCCTACCCATCTCCACCCCCTAATCCCTAACCCCACCCCTTATCCTATCCATCTCCACCCCCTAATCCCTAACCCCACCCCTTCTCCTACCCATCTCCACCCCCTGATCCCTAACCCCACCCCTAATCCTATCCATCTCCACCCCCTGATCCCTAACCCCACCCCTTATCCTACCCATCTCCACCCCCTAATCCCTAACCCCACCCCTAATCCTACCCATCTCCACCCCTGATCCTTAACCCCACACCTAAGCCTATCCATCTCCACCCCCTGATCCCTAACCCCACCCCTAATCCTATCTATCTCCACCCCCTGATCCTTAACCCCACACCTAAGCCTATCCATCTCCACCCCCTGATCCCTAACCCCACCCCTAATCCTATCTATCTCCACCCCCTGATCTCTAACCCCACACCTAAGGGATTTGAAATGTTGTAAAAGTGATGTAAAGATGGCATTTTTATTACTTAAAGGCGGGCGTACACGGTACAAATTCTGACGGTCGGAAGATCGTATGCCCAGGCACACTTTACGAGTGCGTTTATACAAAAATCGTATGGAGGCAGTGATATACGACACGATTTTACGACCTGCTGAATTCCGAAGAAATCGCACAAAGTTCCGCACTAAAAACTCTCATAACTGCATAAAACATTGATACAAGCCGTGGTTATTTTGCTATAGGCTCGTTTTCAGCACCGCGAAACGGACGTCCGGACGGACATAGTTACGGTAGGCTACACATTCAAAAATAAATTTCAAGCTCTCTGAATGATTAATTAGCCGTTTAAACCACCTCATGTGAGCGTTTGCAATTCATTTTGCTCCGAGAAGCTATCGCCGTGAACGGGGCTTGAGTGAGCTTGAGCGCGTTGTGAGAGTGAGGGCGCGGGTGCCAGATCCCGTGTTGCAAGATCCACATAATGGAAAGGTGCCAGTATCTGGACTTGTTTTTTGGATTAATGTCACACTTTAGGAAGTTATTAAAGTAGTTCGTAATATATTTATCTTATTTTCAAAACACAAGCTTTGAACTTATTTTGGATTTTTATATAATTTCTTTGTTTTTGTTAGTTTTTGCTTGTTTTTCGTAGCAATATCTGGCAACATTGTTCTGTAGGCATTAATAAAAAAAGCTTAGGCTGTAGACAAACTGTTATTGCTTTTAGGAGGATACAAACATAGCCTAATGATCATCGTGATGTGTAAGAATCTGTAAGAAATGTATAACACTATCAAAAACAATAGCATAGCCTACAGTTGTTTCAGAATGAAATATGCCAAATACTGGCCAGGAACACGGCAGATGCTGTTTAGTTAACCTTTCACAAAGTCATCATAAAAACATTAATTGAAGCAGTGTTTCTAGTAGTCCACACCATTTTCGTATTTCTTCTGTGGATTTCCTCAGCTCCCGATTGGTCAAATTCAGATAGATCGACAAATCGGCTCATTCAACCGCATACACCTCACGAATGCAAGCCAACAGCTCCCGAACTTTTTCGACATGCTTAAAAATTATCGGGAGGTCGAGAGGTGCTCGGCTCGGCTCGTATCTTCCTCGCACACGATACGAGCCGCGACATGCGAGCATAACCGATTTACACGCGATTTCCCCCGAGTGAAAAAAATCATCTGCGAGCTCGTAAAACAGCAAAAAATCGCACCGTGTACGCCCGCCTTAATAGGTTAGTAAGGTGTTTTTTTGAACAGTTAATTTGTCTTATGCAGCTCTCTAACAGAGTTCATTGTAAAGCATTATCTATTGTGAAGGGTCATTTCCTTATGGTTGTTGTTGCGCTGTGCTGGAATTTATGTTCAAGGAAGTATGGTGTCTATTAATGAGTATAGCTACAGTAATGTCTTCAGCTTGTCTGCTTAAGATCCTTTCCATCTAAACTGGTTATATCTCTTAAAGAGATAGTTCACTTTGAAATTAATTTTTGATATGTTTTATCTTACCTCAAGGGCATCCAAGATGTAGGTGTCTTTGTTTCCACAGTATTTTCAATTTTGCCATTTTTCAGTCAAACCGTTGTTGTCTATCAGTCATACACTGGAGGCTAAGGGGGTCCACCAAAAAGCATGCAGAGAGAAGTCAAAATTAAACATGATTTAATGACTCGTAAATGTAAGTACACATTGATGGCCTAAGACACGAAACGAGCGGTTTGTGAGAGAAAACGAACAGTATTTATATCGTTTTTACCTCTTGTAATCATAGCCATGACAAAATGATCTGACGGCACGGGCGCTTCGGTCTGCGCATGCGCCGGAAGTGATCGCTTGCGCGCCTACGTCACTCTTTGTTTATACAAAGATTTCGGAAGTTTTACCTTTCACTAAACATATTTAAATATACGGGAAACCACAATGGAAGACGATTTCGGTATATCTAAATATGTTTAGTAAAAGGTAAAACTTCCGAAATCACCGTGTAAATATTGAGTGACGTCACACGCAAGCGATCACTTCCGGCGTAACATTGAACTGATTCAGTTTGGTTCAGTTGGGCATTGCACAACTGATTCAGATCACTTGGACGTGGCTGTGATTACACGAGGTAAAAACGATATAAATCCTGTTCGCTTTCTCACAAAAAAAGCTCGTCTCGTGTCTTAGGCCATCAATGTGTACTTACATTTACGAGTCATTAAATCATGTTTAATTTGGACTTCTCTGTGCATGCTTTTTGGTGGACCCCCTTAGCCTCCAGTGTATGAATGATAGACAACAACGGTTTGACTGAAAAATGACAAAATTGAAAATACTGCGGAAACAAAGACACCTACATCTTGGATGCCCTTGAGGTAAGCTAAAACATATCAAAAATTAATTTCAAAGTGAACTATCCCTTTAAGCCTAGTAGTGAATGTTTTATGAGCAGCAGGAGAACCATATTCATCCGCACAGTCAAGCACAACCAAAACAATGTTCTGCAGCAAAATGCATGGAGTTTTGTTTAACCGCTAGAGATTACATAGTGTACCTTTAGGAAAGGAACAGTAATTTGCAATTATGTTAAACATTACTCAGACAGTGTAAAAGAGAATAAAAGTAATAAATGGCTAGGGTTAGAGACAAGGCGGTGACACAATGGCTCAATGCAGGTGAACCCAAATATCTCTGAACAGAGAGAAAAGATCATGTAAAGAAGGAACATTAATATGGCAACATAGTAGACAAAATATAAAGCGAAACAAATAAAAAAAACAATCAAAAACGAAATGAAACAAGCAAAGAAACAAAAAACAATTCAAACAAAAAGCAAATACAATGAGCACATGTTTGATTGCTAAGAACATATTCTTGATTCAAAAATAAAAAGATACGCAAACTAAAAATATTAATTAAACAGGAGGAGAAAATAGCCAGAAGAAGCAAGTCCAAATTGCAGTGAAACCTAAAATCCCACAATGAAATTCATTTAAGCTGGAAAATACGTCACCTTCCTTCAGCTGCAGCCAGCATGTCCTGCCTCGTCAGAGGGATGCATTTGGCTGCAGTTAGGTACAGATGTCCAAAGGCAACAGACTTCTGGCTTACAGAAACTCACCCTAAACCTGGGCACTTTGATAAAGGGGCAGAGTAAAAGAAACTAAAGTGAATTGCATTTTGAATGTACAAATAGGAACTCAAAAGAAAACTTCTGAGGAGTGTTTTGTGGACAGTTTCTTTTCTCAGTGGTCAATTTTAATTGAAAATCCGTTAGAAAGCATTTGCCAATTATGCATGCATTTCTGAGAATATAGGCTTTTGTATATAGAATTTCGGAGAATACATTTTGCACATGTTGATTGTTCTCATTGGAATTTTATTCTAAACAGAATAACCTTTTTTTGTTATTTTGTTGTTTTTTTTCCTCACATTTTTTTCAGTGCAAAACCAAACGAGATTGGGAATGTGGGACCTAAAGGCACTGAGCCAATTATGTTCATTCATAAAACTAAAAAAATGCTGGAGAGCAAACTGGAATTTCACAAGGGAAGACAGTCTGGCTGCTTTGTTAATTTTTATTTTTTATTAATAATATAAGTTTATTAGTAGAAGATTATTAATTGTTAATCACTGTTAATTTTATTACAAAATATTACAAAAAAAAAAACTATTTGCAAAGCATGTTTGCTACTCTAATGCCCCAAAAATATTTTAGTTTACTCTGAAATGTTTAGTTTACTCTTTTTGAAGGCTTTTCTTTATTTTCTTCCAGCAAGGACCAACATTCACAACAGGATCTAGATTTTGGTAAAAGACGTGCTAAATGCAATCAGATTTTTTATTAAATAATGAGTAATGTTTTAATGTTTGCCATTAAAACAGTTTTCTTTAAAACTGAAATTAAAAAATGGTTCCTATTTACATCTTAATGCACATTCCTGGTCTAATTGTGAACAATTCATCAGTGCATGTTCTCTGTGATCTTATATCAAAACTCGCTCCACCTCTGAAACCACTTTCCTTTTTCGTCTGATGTCACAAGCCCTCCCTTCAAACCACCTGTCATATAGAGACCAATTTTCAATTACCAAATTAATAAACCACAGAAAAAAATTGGCCAGTTGAATATGCATCTTGATGTGGGCCTTAGTTCCAGTCTTCAGCATCAGACTCAAGTCAGCTTGAGAGAAAAGATGGCTAAAAAAGACAAAAAGCCGAGCTTACCTGCGGCGAGAGCTGTTGACGGAGGAGGTCCTGCCTCTCCACCACTTTTTTGACTCATAGCGGCTGCGTTCTGCTCTCTAGAAGATGGCAGCTGCAGCTCTTTCGGGAGAAGATCATATACTGATTCTAGAAGGAATCAGAAGAGAAATCCATCAATTATGGGTACGTTTGCACAACTACTATGTACTACTACTATGTAATGTCGCATACAGACGTCAAAGATCCGCGAATGTCACCGTTTTCACAAATTCATGTTTTTGTAGTTTACACGGAGACTGTTTTCAAAGGTTATGTAAATAAGCGGTTTAAATGATTTCCGTTTTTAGTTGAAAATGGTGTCGTGTGAACCATTTTCAACTATGTCTCAGTAAAACACAGCAACAGATTTCTTTGTGGCAACTGATACATGCAGTGAATTTCCAATATCTCATTTCAAGTGGATTATCGCCATGCAGGCAGAGCCTGATAATCAGCACAACATTTCTTTCAGTACTTTTCCATGACCATAAAAGTCATCTACATCTGTCAGTCCAATTCCAGGTGTACAGTGTCTTTCTGGAACCTACACAGCCTGGCCATAGACATTGAAAAAGTCCTGACTGCTTATTTTACACCAATAGTAAGTGATAAATACCATTTTTGGCATGCCAGAGGCCTTAGTCACCACTCTTGTGATTGTAGTGGGTTATTTTAACAGAACAAGAACACAAAGCACTTCAATCCTTGTTCAGGACTCTGATCAGTACTACTTTGAAAACAAGGCTGCTACAAAGGGATGAGGAATTTGAGAAGTAAAATTGTGATTTTATACTGTCCCCACCAGTTAGGCCATATCAAGCACAAAAATTAAATAAGTAAATGAAAAAATAACCATAGTCAAGCTCCTCAAATCCTCAATTCTGTACCTTCTAATGTTTCCATCTCACAGTTGTGTGGTCTCAAATTATGAAAACAATTACATTTACATTTATTTATTTTAGCTGACGCTTTTATCCAAAGGGACACATTGGCGTCTCACAGTGGATTCGAACCTGGGTTTCTCACACCAAAGGCATGTGTCATCACCACCCCTTTTATTAATGAAATTAATGAAAACAATATTATTTATTGTCACACCTGCAAATGGTGGGTTAATGAAAAAAATGTATTAGTCGTCACGGACCTTGCCTGACGCCATATTAAATGAGGCTACGAATACAATTGAGCTATCTTAATGTTATAAGTCAGGGATTTCCAATTTTTTTCCCCTTCAAATATCTACATTTAAATTGGGATGCACAGTTTGGTTAATAATCTGTATGGGATCCGGGTTGGAATAATGGGGGGTGGGTTAAAAAATGTTAGCACTGTTTATAGCAACATTGCATATATTTTATATGATTGGTGTTCAAAGAAATATACTTAAAAAAAGAAATTATAATCTGTTATATATTGCATTTCAGTTAAAGCATCCATGCAAAAAGAACTTAGATGCCTCACTATTGGAAAAAAGGGTTATGTCATGAGATTGATTCTTAGTATACTGAGTATCCATAGTATCCTTTTATGGATATAGTATTAATTAAATAATTTTGTTTTGATGACATTTTATGAATTAAACAGCTTAAAAGTTGAAATATCAAATTAAACAAGAAATTACTATGCAATCATATAAGACATTTCTCCTTTTTAGCATAAAGGGTTCTTTAAAATTGAGTTGAAAAACACTGTAAAAAGTGAACGTGCATTTGTTGCTTTAATTTCAAGCTGATTCTACCTATAAATGCTAATTTTGTTGTTGTAACCTAATTCAATCAGATGTATTTAACGAGCTGTTTTAACTGAATTGAGTTACATTGACCTAATTTCCAAAGGACACATTCAAGGATGGACCCGACACCTTCAACTGCACTAAACCTATAGAGGGCAGTATAGTGACTCGTGTCAGCAACAGGACATCTGCTCTGAAGGACAAAGAAGAAGAAAAGGTTTGTGTTTGGCTGTTCCTTGCTGATCTGAGAATTTTGCTTCAGTGAGAAATTGTAATTTGTGGTTATTACACATAATTGTGATTTGGGGTTATGTTGCATCAAGTGAAAATCACACTTGACACTGCGCTACTCTTCAGCACAATGGTAAATACAACATTCAATAACTCCTCTAAATGTCCAACTGAACATTAAACATTAATATTCCCATGACAAACATTCTCTTTACTGCAAGTGCAAAGCACATAAAATAACACTTAATCCCTAAATGTACTCTCCTAATGCAGTCCCTTGCAAAGCATGCTGGTACAGATCCACTGCCCAGGGCTGCATTTCTCAAAAGCATCGTAAGCCTAAGTAGATCTTTGCCACCAATGGTGCAACCAGTGGATCTATAGTTCCCAGCATGATTTGCAAGGGACTGCATTAGTAAATTTAGGGATTTGTGTCCACCAGAGGCACCAAACAGAAATGCAAAACAATGGCTTACAATCGCAAATGGTTTATAGATGCTTAGATGATTTCAAGCAGTCCCACAGAAAATAAAATGTGAAAAGTACAGGTATGTTTAAAAGCCTCAAATTCTGAGAACAAATTCATCTCTTATATGGCCTGAAACAGATGCAAACATGGGGGCAGGTCAAGGCAAATTCTCAGTAAGGCCGTGAACACCGTTTACAGAGGCGAGACAGGGAGCAACAGACACTCTCTGTTTCTAAGTCAAACAAGCCTAGGAAAGTGGATTTTAAAGGTCTTGAGACCAACATCACAGTTCTTGCATAACCACCAGTGTTGTGTACTCGAGACTCGGACTCGGTCTAGGATTCAGTCTTGAGACCATATTTGACCGGTCTTGTCATGGACTCGTGTGCATTTTGACTTCGAACTGACTTGTACTAGAACATATTAGGACTCGGACTTATTACCGAGTCCACTCGAGTCCCATTCAAAATGTCATGATTATTACTGTATGTTAATATTTCTTTAAATTGTTGTTTGATTGAAACGTCCAATGACTGCTGACTTACTTGTGTGCAACTGCGCTTGACTTGAGACTATAACGTTCGCGGCGCGCAAATGCAGCAGGACCCAGGTCAGATGTGATGTGGAGCCTCTAGCTCAACTATGTATTGAAAATGCAGTAATGTTCATGTGCAGTAATTTTATGTGAAAAAGCCCTTACAGATTGTAATATTAAGTCATAATTGTAATAAAATTACCTTTACACCACTATGTGGCCTTTTTACCATTACAGTGTACATGATTCCATGGTATATTTGGTTTACTGTTTGAGTATGGTGCCAATTTTTTTGTTACCACCAAACATTTTACATATTCTTTACATTTTACATAGTCTCGACTCGGACTCGACTCTCTTTGGTCCCGGTCTCGACTTGGACTCGACTCTCTTTGGTCTCGGACTCGACTCTCTTTGGTCTCGGTCTCGACTCGGACTCGACCCTCTCTGGTCTGGACACGGTCTCGACTCGGACTCGACCCTCTTTGGTCTCGGACTCGAACTCGACTCTCTTTGGTCCCGGTCTCGACTCGGACTCGACTCTCTTTGGTCCCGGTCTCAACTCGGACTCGACTCTCTTTGGTCCCGGTCTCGACTCGGACTCGACCCTCTTTGGTCTCGGACTCGACTCTCTTTGGTCTCGGTCTCAACTCGGACTCGACCCTCTCTGGTCTGGACACGGTCTTGACTCGGACTCGACCCTCTTTGGTCTCGGACTCGACTCTCTTTGGTCTCGGTCTCGACTCGACTCTCTTTGGTCTCGGTCTCGACTCGGACTCGACTCTCTTTGGTCTCGGTCTCGACTCTTTTTGGTCTCAGTCTCGACTCGGACTCGACTCTCTTTGGTCCCGGTCTCGACTCGGACTCGACCCTCTTTGGTCTCGAACTCGACTCTCTTTGGTCTCGGTCTCGACTCGGACTCGACCCTCTCTGGTCTGGACACGGTCTCGACTCGGACTCGACCCTCTTTGGTCTCGGACTCGAACTCGACTCTCTTTGGTCCCGGTCTCGACTCGGACTCGACTCTCTTTGGTCCCGGTCTCAACTCGGACTCGACTCTCTTTGGTCCCGGTCTCGACTCGGACTCGACCCTCTTTGGTCTCGGTCTCGACTCGGACTCGACTCTCTTTGGTCTCGGTCTCGACTCTTTTTGGTCTCAGTCTCGACTCGGACTCGACTCTCTTTGGTCCCGGTCTCGACTCGGACTCGACTCTCTTTGGTCTCGGACTCGACTCTCTTTGGTCTCGGTCTCGACTCGGACTCGACTCTCTTTGGTCCCAGTCTCGACTCGAACTCGACTCTCTTTGGTCTCGGTCTCGACTCTCTTTGGTCTCGGTCTCGACTCGGACTCGACTCTTTTTGGTCTTGGTCTCGACTCGGACTCGACTCTCTTTGGTCTCGGTCTCGACTCTTTTTGGTCTCAGTCTCGACTCGGACTCGACTCTCTTTGGTCCCGGTCTCGACTCGGACTCGACTCTCTTTGGTCTCGGACTCGACTCTCTTTGGTCTCGGTCTCGACTCGGACTCGACTCTCTTTGGTCCCAGTCTCGACTCGAACTCGACTCTCTTTTGTCTCTGTCTCGACTCTCTTTGGTCCCGGTCTCGACTTGGACTCGACCCTCTTTGGTCTCGAACTCGACTCTCTTTGGTCTCGGTCTCGACTCGGACTCGACCCTCTCTGGTCTGGACACGGTCTCGACTCGGACTCGACCCTCTTTGGTCTCGGACTCGAACTCGACTCTCTTTGGTCCCGGTCTCGACTCGGACTCGACTCTCTTTGGTCCCGGTCTCAACTCGGACTCGACTCTCTTTGGTCCCGGTCTCGACTCGGACTCGACCCTCTTTGGTCTCGGTCTCGACTCGGACTCGACTCTCTTTGGTCTCGGTCTCGACTCTTTTTGGTCTCAGTCTCGACTCGGACTCGACTCTCTTTGGTCCCGGTCTCGACTCGGACTCGACTCTCTTTGGTCTCGGACTAGACTCTCTTTGGTCTCGGTCTCGACTCGGACTCGACTCTCTTTGGTCCCAGTCTCGACTCGAACTCGACTCTCTTTGGTCTCGGTCTCGACTCTCTTTGGTCTCGGTCTCGACTCGGACTCGACTCTTTTTGGTCTTGGTCTCGACTCGGACTCGACTCTCTT